CCGGAAATCCGTAGTGTTGCCGTCTCCCGCCTCTCCGTCGCTGCCGCTCTCTTCTGGACTGTTGTCAGACAAAAGGCCAAACGGTGGCGAAGGTGCCAGCAAAGGTGAAGAAGATGGCGGCGGCCGCGAGCTCGTGGACCCTCTATTTAAGGTCTGGCGCTCATGCGCGAGGTGGGCGCACGTTAGAAGCATCACACAAAAAAACTCTTTACGCGAAGGGAGAAGCTCTACTTTTTGCGAATTGTGCGCCAACTCCTACAACCAGGCCGCGGCCTTAGCTGCTCCCTAGCTCTAAAGCCAAGTCTCCCCAACGGTTCTACCAAAGTGAAATAAAATGCCTTCTAATGAACTTGGAAACGCCATAACTCTCGAAGCTCCTCCTGTTTTTTTTTAAACGGGCACGCGCGCTTATTGATAACCTGCGTGAGATTGCTCGTTACCAGACGGTTCCGCGGCGCGTTTCGGATTTGCGTGTTAGAGTGTACACAGAGGGTCGACGTTAAAGATAAGAACTTCAATACTAACTGACTCAGAGTTCCAAACAGATCCACCTAGCTCTAAGCTAAACCCAAACAACATAAGCAAGCACGCTCCTGCTGGCCAATTCTTGGGCTTCGTCGTGTGGAACCGTTGCAGCGCCGCGCCTCCCTTTAAGCATTTCCCTTGAGCATGCCGGTATCGCATGAAGAGCGCATAGCCTGCTTGTTAGAGCTTTCTAGCCTCACCTTCTTGGGCCAATCGGTGAAGCATCTCCCGAAGACCCCAGGGTGCAGACGCGTAACGAATAAAAGAAACACAAGTCCAAATCTACTACGAAAAGTTACACCAATAAGCTAACGCCCAGAGGTAGCGGGAGAGTAAGCTAATGGATTGTAATCTAATCAAGCAACTCAACTACCTATACCAGAACCAGCCCTGCATACTGAGCCATAAGTTTTAGCGAAGTCCAACACGACCCGGGGGCCACATTCTTCCAAGCCTCGCAAAGTCATATCCCCACCACATGCGCGACACTGCAAGAGGCTCGGGTCTGGGTTGTGAATCAAGACTGACGCCCCTGCAGCGGAGAAGAGGTCCTCAGGCGTGCCAGCTTCGAACGGAGAACTGGCAAAGGCTTGTCGCAAAGGATACAACCCAGAAGGCACACTAGTCCACAAAGATGCCTGGTGCTTCGCTCCGTCCGCCTTCTTTACTATTCTTCCACTGAGATACTCCATGTAGAGGGTATTCTGGAGCGCCACTCCCACCCAAGCCGGGGCGCCGGTGCCAGCGATTGGGAATAGCTTCTCCACCTCTCCCCGGTAGGGCAAGCGGTTGAGAAAGGTGGCCCGCTGCAGCGAGTGCTGGTGCCGCTCCTCCTCTAACTTCTCACGCAAAGAGATTCGCGCGGCGACGCCCGCGGAAGAAGCGATCGAAATCCCCTGAAGCGCTGGCGGTTGCGCAGATACGTCAGGAAGCCGCTTTCTTTGTTCACTATTGAAGTCCAGCATCGAAGCCGAGAACTCTGCAACGGGGCGGAGCTCCTTGCCAGAGGCACTGCTGCAGAGTGTTAGAAGGATTGATGGAATTCCTGTGCCGGTTTGGTTAGATTATCCTAATGAGCAGGCTAGTCCGAAGCTAGCTCCCCCTAGTGGGCTTCCCTACATATCTAATTACTCAAAGACACCGAAAAGAGGCACAGAGGCGCGACTGTCGGGCCATCAAGCCATAAATAAACCTCGTTGATTTCTTTGATCGGACAAGTAGTAGAAAAGACGAGTAGTTGAAGGATGATCGTCAAGCCATAAAGTAGACGCAGACGACGCGGCACCAACGTAATACTCCGGCGTTAGCGTCTTCGTCAGAACAAGCGACTCCGAGCCCGGCGCCACGCGAAACATGGCCCGCCACACCCAGCATTCTGTCTGCTGGTTGAAAAGCACCGGCAGCCCACTGGCTGAGTTCCGCAGTGCTGGCATGTTCTCGCTCCGGCTGATAGGGACCCAGGGTTAGAGGCTAACACCGCTAAAAAAAGTGACTACGACTCCGGCAAAGTACTTAGTTGCCAGCTGCTGCCCAGTCTGGTGCCAGGGCTGAGCACTGAGAGTGAGCGAATTTGAAACCGAACAAAAAGACCAAGAAACCTTCTTTGAATTCTGTCAAACAAAAAGCACACCAATAGAGGCAAAACTGAGCAAATGAGTCTGGCCCAGCCCTTGTTCTCTAACCAAGTACATTCCCTCCAGCCATAAAGCACATCGGTGGAGCCGACTTGCAACTTGCAATGGAAGGCCCACTCTGCGTCATCCGCTAGACGTGGCCGGGGAATCGTGTAGCGCCCCTCATTGAATGTGTACTCACGAAGGCGCTCGGCGGTTATGCCGCGAAGCTTTTGAATGGCGCTCCCTCTTCCATGGCCGGCCGCTGTTTCCCGCGTTGTCTCCTCTTCGAGGACCGACCCAACGCCCGCTGCAGATGCGCTTCCACCATCGCCACACTGATCGGCTCGAAGTACGTCGCTTTCATCGGCGCAAAATGCGTCGTCTTGATCGACGAGAAGAACGTCGTCTCGATCGACGTGAGGTGCGTCGTCTTGCTCGAGCTCGACGCCAAGCGCGTCGCCTAGAGATGGCACCGGAACGGCAGCAGCATCGTCTTCGCCGTCGTCATCTTCTATTTCATCACTTGGCAAAAAAAGCCCGCGAACCTTCGAGCGGTTTCTTGGGTCACGGTCACCACGCGCGCGAGAGGTACTAGTAGGCGCAGTAGCAGTAGTAGTAGCTCCGGTTAGAGCGATTCCTGGCTTGTTGTTCTGGACGAGAAAGGCAGGTCCGAGATCCGCCCCAAGACTGTTCGTCGGAAAGAACGCCTTAGGCTTCCGGCCCCGCTTACTTCCAGCCCCGCTCACTGGTATTCGCGTCTGTGCGCTCCTTTTCTTGTTGCCCTGCTCTACCCAATGCACCATCCTCCTATTGTCTTGCTGCGTTAGAGGTTGCGAATTGTTCGCCCCTACCGTATCTATCGCATCTAACTACGGCTAGTTGGAACAGTATGCAAATCCTGGGAGCAATCGCAATGACATTGACAAGAAACAGCGGAAGCCTAGTTCTAATATGCCCTGTAGAAGTGCCAAGATATGACGTTCCGAAACGGGAGAAGTTATGGGTTTAGATCAACGATTATCAAAGCTCCATACTCCTTAAGCCTTA